AAAACATTATTATTATTATGTTAAATTATATTTATAAAATAATTTTTTTTGTATATATTTATTTATTTTTTAAAAAAAATCTGTAAACTATTAGTTGTTTAAAATAAAAATATTATATATTTATTTGAAATTAAATAAAATTTAGCCAAATCAATGATGATGTTTATTTTATTTTGAATTAATATTATTTTATATAAATATAGGTTTATTTATTAATTATATATTGTAATATTTTCACATTACATTAAGTTTAAAGTAATAATAATAAAAATCAGATCATTAATAAAAATTATATATAAAAATATATTAATCTAAAATATACAATAAAATAATAAAAAATAATAAAACATTTTATTACACACATAGATAAATAAAATGTTTTTAGATTTATAATATAAATTTTTTATAACTAAAATATTTTATATCATTATTTAGTTAAATATAGTTAAACTTTTTTAATGGCATTACAGTTGGTATGAACCTGGGCAATTTGCTAATATAATTTTGTTTAGCTGGTACATTTTTAACAGGTACTTTTAATACAATTGATTTTTCATAGTGTTGTTGTTGTTGATGTATATTATTATTATTATTTTTATCATGATTTCTAACTAACAGTGTAATTGGCTGTCGATATATTACTGGTGGTTGTCTTAGTTTATTATTAGGAAATTTTTTGTTTCGAAACATTCCCGGAAATTTTCTTCCATGATATCTATTTAATTTTTGTCCGTCATAGATGTTAACTAAAAACAGTTTAATAAAACAATTTATTTGATTTTTATAAATAATATTTTATTAAAATAGTATTTTATTATAGAGTATTTTATTAAATAGTATTTTATTAAATAGTATTTTATTAATTAGTATTTTAATAAATAATATTATATTAAATAGTATTTTTTATTAAATAATATTTTTTATTAAAAAATATTTTTTATTAAATAGTATTTTATTAAATAGTATTTTATTAAATAGTATTTTATTAAATAGTATTTTATTAATTAGTATTTTATTAAATAGTATTTTATTAATTAGTATTTTAATAAATAATATTATATTAAATAGTATTTTTTATTAAATAATATTTTTTATTAAATAGTATTTTATTAAATAGTATTTTATTAAATAGTATTTTATTAATTTGTATTTATTAATTAGTATTTTATTAAATAGTATTTTATTAATTTGTATTTATTAATTAGTATTTTATTAAATAGTATTTTATTAATTAGTATTTTAATAAATAATATTATATTAAATAGTATTTTTTATTAAATAATATTTTTTATTAAATAGTATTTTATTAAATATTATTTTCTTAAAAAAAATTAATAAATAAACTAAAATTAGTACTAATTAATACATTTATATAATTAATTAAATAAATAAAATATTGATTTACCTTGATCATCATCATCATTGTTTACTCCAGTATAGTCATGTTTATTATATATTAATTGTTGCGATTTTTTAGGTAACTGATACATGTCATTGTTTAATAAATTATCATAATAATATTTATTACTATTATGATAATTGTTGTTATCATATAAGCCATAATGTTGTTTTAGTCCATTATTATTATTAATATTAATATTATTATTACTATTGATTATCTCAGTATCCACAGTGATATCAATTACAGCATTTATTACATACAATTGAATAGACAGTAATAATAATAATATTACTAATAATAGTTGTGAAAGTTTTAGCTAAAAAATAATACAATTAAAAAATAATTTTTTTTAAAAATCAAATATACAGTAATTAATTTAGTAATTATTTAGTAATAATAGTAATATTTAAATATATTTACCACAAACATATTGATGATTATATTTAGTTATATATTTTATTTATATATATATATATATATATTAAATAAATATATATATTATTATTACATTTTTTGGCACAAAATTTATTTAGCATACATACTGTATGTATGCTATTATAGTTGCATAAACTTTATGTAATTAAATTATTTTGTAAATAAAGTTTTACATGTTATGTAAAAATATTTTTTTAAAACTAATAAACAATTGACACAAAATAATGTTTAGTATTATATAATATTATATAATGTTTAACTTTAACAAAACAAATATTAAATAACATTTATTTAATTATTTACATAATACTATACACACACACATAATAATAATAATAATGATAATAATATTTAATTTTCAGTATAATGAGATTGATTTTACAGTAAAAAAAAGTTTAAAACAAAAAACATACTTTTAAATATACAAAAATTTTAAAATAAAGACAAATTTAAACTAATTTTCAACAGTATTATATTATATAACATTACTGTATATTTTATTTTAACTTTTTTATATGATGTCATAGATTACACACCGAAAAAAACTGAAAAAAATAAATCAAACAATAAATTTAATCAGATTAGTATTATTTTTATGGTTAATAAAAAAACTAATATTATATATATATATATATATATGTCGTTTAATATTAACTTTTAGAAACAATATAAAAAAGCATAAAATAAAAAATAATATATAATATAATATTTTTTATTATTATTAAAAATATTAATATATATATCAATTTATACATAAGTAATATATATATATATATATATATATATAATAATATACAACAAAAATCAAGTTTTCAAAAATAATAAATAAATATTATTTTTATCTATATTAATTGATTAATTATCTTATTATAATAGCAGCATGCAGTATATACTGCATATATATATACTATCTATGATTAATATATAATAATAAATATAATATAGTATTTAGGTGTATAAAAAATTTATTTTACTTTCATTTAGTATTTTTGTCATTTAAAATATAACAAACATAAGATCTTTTATTAATAGTTTATTTTTTTCGGTAAAAAAAACTTCAATTTCCTATTTTTTAGTATTATTATTATAATTAAAAACCTGTTTTTTGTTTTTAAGTACAGTAGTTATTATACTACAATACTATGTAATGTAAATATTTTATATATTATAATGTTTATTGATTATATCTTTATATAACACAATGTATATATAATATACAGGTAATACTGCATATATATATATATATATATATATAAGACAAATATGTGTTACAAATATATAATGTATGTATAGTATATATATATATAAATTGTTGTAAAAAATAAAGTGGTTTTTTGTAAATATTTTATTGCTGGATGTCATACATGTTAATGTGTTTGATATTTTTGACACAATTTTTTTTTGTTTTTATTTTAATTTTTATAAAACAAAACATTACTTTACTTTATATTATTTTTTTACTTTATTATAGATCAGTGATTAACATTAAATTTATAAAACTAAATTGTACAAATAAGCTAGTACATATTAAATGAGTAAGTGTTTGTTTAACTTACTCATTGTTTGTTATAAATTATGAAAATTACTATTAAATATCTGTTAAATTAGTTATGTTATATATGTATCACAAAGTTATCATGATAACACTTAATGTTAATCACTGTTATAGATTAATTGTTTTTAAAAATATTGTGTATATTTATAATAATAACTATTATTTATTTATTTTATATACTAAATAGATGACTAATTATTGCGTTAATTGCACATTAAATTAAATAATTAAAAAAAATTAATAATACAAAGTTTGCATATAATAAAAAATTTTATTAATACAGTTAAAATTAACATTATCAATAAAACTTTCACATTGCTGAGTTATCATAACATAATAAAATACTAAGTGTTAATATAAGAGTACAAATAATATATGGTTTTTTAATATAAAAATTTTATAATTTTATTTTAATTATATTTTACAAAAACAAATAAAAGATATACAAATAAATATTTGTATTAAATATTTACTATTGTTATTAAAATAAAATAAAAAATATATTTATTTATATTAATAGTAGAAATATTTAATTTAAAAAAACATTTATTATAAACAAAAAAACATTAAATCTATTTATTTATATTTTTTGAATATACAATATTATTTAATTACTAAATTAAAAAAAACATTTATTTATATTTATATTTTAAAAATTTAGTATAAATTACAAATTAAACATGCAAGTTACAAATTTTCTACTAAATTTTTAAAAAACATTATCTACTAACGGATATAATATTTTTTTCATATATTTTAAAAGTATTTATAATAAAATTTTTATATATATTTGTTTAGTGATAAACATAAAACAATGATAATGATTATTTAGACTAATTAAAATTTTATTATACTGTATATATACTGTACTTATCTATACAACTATTTTTTAGTTTTTTGAGATTTTTTTAATTAATTTATGATACAAGCATATTTTATATAATGAGTATAATAAAATATAATACAATAGAATTAAATTAATTTTTATTTTACAAAAAAAAATTAAAGTAATATTAAATTCAACTATTTATTTTTATTATTGTTAATATATATATATATAACAAACATCAATTACTAAATAAAAAAATACTTCTATATATTTATAATATATTTTTATAAAAATTTAATGATGATGATAAATAATAATGTACTTGATAGATTGTTAAACTAATATAAAAAATAAACTTAATTATTAGTATTATTAAACATTTTCCGCTATCAGTTAATTTTAAATATATCAATTGCACACCCATTTAATTGATCATGAACAGATAATAAAATTAATATTAAAGATAGTACTGTTAAAAAAATAAAATAATAAACATAAAAAAATAGTAGACATTAATAATTGATAATGTCTTAAATACATGAAATACTATGCAATATAATAATATAATAGTAATTAATTAATTAATTAAATGAAAGTTAACTAACAGTTTAATTAAACAATTGAAGTTTTAAACTTTCATTTAGCAAATAGCTCTACACTGGGACACAGTCTCCAAAAAATTGAGAGACTATATATTAATTAATTATTTTAGTTTTAATTAAAAATTTTTAGTAAATTATTTTTAGTTTATAGTGTAGTTAATAATAAATTAATTATTTTTTAAAAATCATGAAAAATACACTATTAATGCTGGCCTTAGTGCCAGCATTGACTAGTGCATTTTTATTTAATCATACTCATCTAAATGACCAACCTAAATTTTTGACAATCAACAAGGTATGTACTATTATGATTTTAAAAAATAATAATTATTAGAATTAATTTTGTTATTAATTATTAGAATTAATTTTGTTATTAAATATTATAATTAATTTTGTTATTTATTATTAGAATTAATTTTGTTATTAATTATTAGAATTAATTTTGTTATTAATTATTAGAATTAATTTTGTTATTAATTATTAGAATTAATTTTGTTATTAATTATTAGAATTAATTTTGTTATTAATTATTAGAATTAATTTTGTTATTAATTATTAGAATTAATTTTATTATTAATTATTAGAATTAATTTTGTTATTAATTATTAGAATTAATTTTGTTATTAATTATTATAATTATTATTACTAATATTATTTTTCTACTATATTAACATAGGATGGCCAACATCAACATCAGTCCCGAAAAACACCGGTTAAAGTTGAAATATATTATTCACCATACAATGAAAAGGCCAATAAATTTATAGCCAGTCAAAATAAGGACAGTGCTTTTAGCATATATGATCTGATGCTACCCGGCGCGGGCGGGTCGACAGTACAACTGGAAGTCGATTATATACCGTGGGGTGTGTCCACTAAAACTGATCCACCAACAGTAACATATGATTGTGGCAAAGATGACAATTGTTTGGCACATAAACTTCATGTAAATATATATAATTTATGTTTTATTATTATTATAAAACTATATGTAAATTAACTAAATATTAAAGATATATACAGTATATTCTTATATATCTATAAATATATATATAATGAGTTTATTTTTGGATTATTTGTAATTTTTTTTTATAAATATTTTGCAATTTTTACAAATATATCATTTGATAATGAATTTTATTTTGCTAGAAAAAATGATTTTATATATTTATTATCATAATTAATAGTTTTAATAAGCTATCTTATACATTTAATTTAATATAGTTAATAAATAAATTTATAGATATATATACATATATAATAACATATATATATGTATAACTGAAAATTTATTATAATTTAACTAAAATTTATATATATATAAATAATAATTAATTAATTCTAAATTATAGACAATAACTGTATAAATAATATATTAATATTAAATATATATGTTTTGGGTTAGGCCTGTTTGGTCAGACATCATGACACTACCATTGAAAATCATCACGAATTTCTGATGGTATTGTGTACCACTCAACATCCGGACTGGCCTACCAATCCTACCAGTGCTATTACAAAGTGTGCCATAAAAGTCAACGATATACCCGATGGTGGCGAACAATTGGTTACTTGTGCTAACGATGCCGTCCAAAGTGCGGAATATTTGGATGAAATGAAAGCAAAAACTGATTTATTGAGTTCACCCATCACTGAGGACAGCAGTAAGTTATTATTATTATTATTATTATTATTGAATAAAATACTACTACTAGTGCTAGTACTGCAAGTAAGGGTAGTATACGGGTATGCAATTTGGGAGTGTATTCGGGTTAAACAGGTAATCGGACTATATATATTAGACATTTTTCATAATCAATACACACACACACATTTAATATTTAAATTGACCATGGGCATATTTATAGATAATATTTAATTTTTTTGATTTATTATAATTTTTTTGCCATTTATTGTTGTTGTTGTTGTTGTTAATTAATAAATAAAATTAACTAGCTAATAGCATCAGAATAAAATTATTTAGTATTAATTTTACAATTAATTAACAACAACAAATAATTGACCAATTACAATAAATATTCAAGTTGATCATTAAATATGCCCATGGTAATTATTTTAAAATTTTTTTATTGAATATGTATAGGTTAATTAGATATTTAATATATTTACCTATTACCTATTACTAAGCAAATAGTGTCTATAAAATGCATACATTACTATCTACCAGTACTTGAAATATTAATTGTATATATATATATAGGTAACTATTATATATTTTTGTTTTTTTTAATCATACAAACATACAGTTCCTACTATCTTAATTGATGGTGTAGCTAATCCCGGAGCTGTCAATAATCTAAGGAAAGCCGTTTGCCAACAATTTGGTGTATGTATAGCTAACTAGTTGGCTAAGTCATACAATTGGAAATCATTATATTATTATTATTAAACTAAATTTCTATATATATATATTAATAGCCGGACGCACCCATAGCTTGTAGTAATATCAAAGTAGAAATCTATTATTCACCGTATAATCAGAAAGCCATTGATTTTGTGTCCGCACAAAACAAGGACAGTCCAACCGGTATCTACGATCTGATGCTACCCGGAGCTACCGGTATAGGACCGGGACTGGAAGTCGATTATATACCGTGGGGCGTATCAACAGCTACAGGTGTCAGTCCTACATTAGTCTTTGACTGTACCGATGATGCCAACTGTTTAGCACATAAGCTACATGTAAATCACAAATTATTTTTTTTCAATAATTTTTATTTAGTTAATAAAACAGATATATATATACATACACACACACCTAAACATATATATAATTGAAAATTTATTATTATTTAAATATATATATATATATATAAAGATATATATAATTAAAAATTTATTATTATTTAAATATATATATATATTAATATTTAATAAATTCTAAATTATAGACTAAATTATACAATTATTTATGTAATAACTTTATAAATATTATATTAATATATATATATATATATATATGTTTGGGTTAGGCCTGTTTGTTACGACATCACGACACTACCATTAATAATCATCACGAATTTCTGATGGTATTGTGTACTACACAACACCCGGACTGGAAGTCCGATCCTAATCACGCCATTACACATTGTGCCGAGGAGGTCAACGATATACCCGATGGTGGCGAACAATTGGTTATCTGTGCCAAAGATGCAGCACTGAGTGGTCAATATTTAGATGAAATGCGTGTTAAAACATTAGGATTGATCCCAAAATTAGAGGAAAAAGACAGTAAGTTATTTAATATTTATTATAAATTTAAAAAAAAAGTAATCAATGGGTAATTTAAAAAAAACTAATTGTTGTTGCAAACATACAGTTCCTCTTATACACGTTAATGGCGAACCTAATACCGGAGCTGTGGCTAACCTAAAAAAAGTTGTTTGCGATCTATTTGGTGTATGTATTAAATATATATATATATAAGTTGAGCTAACTTAACAAAAATTTACATATTACAATATTTTATAGGCTAAAGGACCGGTAGCTTGTAGACCAAAAGTCAAAGTCGAAGTCTACTATTCACCGTATAATCCGAAAGCCATTGATTTTATTTTGGACCAATCATTGGCCAGTCCTAAGGGTATCTACGATCTGATGATACCGGCACGGGATGGTTCATCGATGGGCGTCGAAGTTGATTATATACCGTGGGGTATGTCTACTAGCAATGGTGCCACACCGCCCGTATATAACTGCGGTACCGATGATGTCGGCTGTTTTGCCCATAGACTACATGTACGGCATAGACACACATAAAAATAAATCACTTAATATAAATATAATTATCTATCTGTCTATTGATTGGGTTAGGCCTGTTTGGTCAGACATCACGACACTACCATTGATAATCATCACGAATTTCTGATGGTATTGTGTACAACACAACACCCAGATTGGAAAACCAAACCTACCAATGCTATTACACAGTGTGCCCAAAAAGTCAACGATATACCCGGTGATGGCGAAGAACTGGTTATCTGTGCCAAAGATAACAAAAAGAGTGGTGAATATTTGGATGAAATGCGAGTTAAAACACAAGAACTAAAACCAGCGATAACTGATACGGACAGTAAGATTATTATTATTATTATTATTGATTATATTTTGCCTGATTGTGTTGTGTGTTTGTCTATCAAATATACAGTTCCTCTTATATACGTCGATGGCGAACGAAATACGGAAGCGGCAGATAATTTAAGGGCAGTTGTATGCAATAAATTTGGTGTAAGTATTTTATAAAAAAAATTATTATTATTAACAACATGTGCAAATTATTAAATTAAAACCCCACCCCATGCCCTTAAAAAATATATATATTTATTTAGGTATTACAACCGTTACAATGTAAATCTGGATTTCAAGTAAATGTCGAAGTCTACTATTCACCGGACAATCAAGAAGCCATCAAATTTATTGCTAAACATCAAAAATCAGAAAAAGATAGCATCTGGGATATTATGCATCCCGGTGCTCATGCACCAGTTAAAATTGATTTTATACCATGGGGTGTGTCTACCCGTACGGAATCTACACAACCGGATACAGCTAATACGTATACATGCGATCCGGATGCTAATTGTCTAAAACATCGACTTCATGTACGTATTTTTTTTTGTTATTAATTAATTAATTATTTTTTTTAACTATACAAATAATTTATTTAATTTCCCGAACGGGACGGGACCGGTATTGTTATTTTTTTAATAGGCCTGTATTGAACGACATCATACAATTGGCCTGGAAAATCATCATGAATTCTATATGATAGTTTGTACAACTAATCACGGGGATTGGTCAACTGATCCGGGTAAAGCTACCAATCAATGCGCTGATCAGGTTAACGATATACCCGAGGATGGGCCAGCACTGGTAGTTTGCGGACATACACCCGTACAGAGCGACCAATATTTAGATGAAATGTATGATCTAACTAAACAGGCTGTACCTCAATTGACAGCTGCTGAAAGTAAGCTAATTATGTAATTAATTAATCATTTTCTATTTTCTATTATTAACTAACCCTTTTAAACATAATAATAATAATAAAATAATTAATTAAATTAATATGTTTTTAATGGGTTAGTTAATAATATGGAAATGACTATATTTAGCTTGTATAAAATAGTAATTTAGATTTTATAATAAAAACTATTTTTTAAATTTTATCAAAAAAAATTATATAATATATAAAAATATTATTTATATATAATTAAAAAAATACAAAAATTAGTTTCTTTAGCTATTTTTGAAAACTATTATTATTATTATTATTTTGATTTTAATAATTTTAAATAAATTTTATGTTATTTTTGCAAAAATATTAAAAATATTTATATATAATTGTTTATTATTATTATATCAATAGTACCGGTAGTTTTGGTTAACGGTGTAGGAAACACCGATGCTTTGGATAAATTGCGATCAGTAGTCTGTTCAACACTTGGTGTATGTATGACCTAAAATTGCCAACCAAAAAAAATTATTTTAAAAAGTGCATTTAATTAATTAATAATAATTATTTTAATAATTTTTTTATTTACTTTGTAACAGTCAAATGCACCACCAGTTTGCAAACCGCTAGAAGTTTTCGTATACTATTCACCCTATGATAAAGATTCAATACGATTATTAAGTGAACAAGCTGAAAATTTACATAAAGGTATCTACGATCTAATAGTACAATCGGAACTGGTACAAGTGGATATTGATTTTATACCATGGGGATTGTCTACTAAAACCGACAGTGCCCTATACGATAGTAGGGCTGCAAAATACGAGTGCACTAATGAACATAATATACATTATGTTGGATGTCTGGTCACACGATTGCATGTATGTGTTTTATGTTGATATTGTTATCACCAATTTTTATTAAAAATTTTTTATTAAATAATTATTCAAATAGATTAAATTTGTTTTTAATCAATTATAATTATAATATTGTTTAGTAAATTTCATATATATATATATATATATATATATATATAATTTATATACTTTATTAATAACATGTCTATATATATATATTGACATAATAGTAATAAGGTATAAAACAAAAAATTTCATATGATAACAATAATTAAATATAATTATTATTAGTTTTTTTATTACTTAATTAGTAAATTTTATAGAAATATACTATATATTTATATTGTATAGAATATTAATAAGGGATGAAATTTAATTATTATTGTGTGTATGTAATATTGAATAATTATAAATAAGTTAATTATTTATTTATTTTTTTATTTAATTTTAAACTAAGGCATGTATACGACATCATTACACTAATAAACAACAATTGTATCAAATGATTGTCTGTACGACATCTGATGGCGATTGGGAAAAGAATCCGGAGGGTGTAGTCATGAAATGTGGCAACAATTTACCCGATAAACCGTTTGACGGCAAGAAAATAACCGACTGCGCCGAGTCGGCTGCCGATAGTGATCCACTATTGGATGAAGTAAAAGCATTGACCGACAAATTGAATCCAAAATTGACAAAAAGTAATTATAAATTTATTAATTTTTTAAAAAATAATTTTAGAAAATTTATTATTTTAAAAAATTAATATTATTATTAATTTTTTCAGTATTATTTACTAACTTATATATTAACTATAGTATATTGCTTATTGTTTATAGTCTATAGCTTAAACTCTCTTAAAAGCTATCATGATAGATTTTTGAATTTAACTTGATTACGTATTTTATGATAATCTAAAATATATACCTTACTCATTTACAAATAAACTATTACAATGAAAATTATTTTTTTACCCTATTATATTAATTAATTTTTTTTGTCAATATAGTTAATGTTATGCATTGTATGTTTAATTATTGTTTTTCATTGATATATATTGATATATAACATGTTTAATATATTTGTTTTTATAAATTTTTTATTCTTAATGTTATATTAAGAATAAAATTTTTTTAAAAACAATGTTATTATTTAATGTTATATTTGTTTTATTAATTTAGTTTTAATATTTTTTGTATAATTAACGTTCAGGGACTGATTAATAATAAACCTATGAGATAGTCTATTATCTATAATAACTTAGTATAATAAATATATTAAGTACTATATTTAATATATACTGTACTAACTTTAATATATAATAATTAATAATTACAAATAACTATAATTATTTTTTTGTATTAATTTTTAATATTGATATATGAAAATAACACAAATTTATACATAATTTTATTTATTATTATTTTATTTTTTAATTATTATTAATTATTAGCCCCTTATATAACAATTGATGGAATATTGGATGAAAATGGCGGCAAAAATTTAAGAGATACTGTTTGCGAGTCATTTAATGTAAGATTTAAATTAAATATATTTAAAAATCTTATTTTAAGTTAATTTTCTTTAAAAAAAACAAATATTTATTTTTTTTCAATCAATAATTAAAATTTAAAAAATTAGGAAAATTATATACCAGACGAATGTAAGGTAACTCCCGGTGCTGTTGTCGTTGAAGTTTACTATTCGCCTAACGATCCCAAAGCTGTCGACTTTATCATTCGTCAACGTGAGGACAGTCAGAAAGGTATCTACGATCTGATGCAACCCTCGGATGATGTTCCCGTTGAAGTCGATTTTATACCATGGGGTGTATCAGTGAAACATCCTAATGGTAGCTACGGGTGCCAGGATGACCCTGATTGTACACTACATAGAATACATGTTAGTATAATAATTATTATTTTAGGAATTTCCTATCATATATTACCCTTACTACTACTAGGCCTGTATTGAACGACATACCGGTGCCGGGTTTCTAAATCATCATGAATTCAATATGATTGTCTGTACTGTCTTCCATGATAACTGGGCAACCGATCCGACTAAGGCTACCATCGAGTGCGGCAATGAACTCACAGATGGTCTACCAGATTCAGGTGTCACGATTGTCGAGTGTGCCACACATACGGATGAAAGTAACATATATTTGGATCATATGTTGGAAAAGACTAGTCAATTGAGTCCGATATTAACAAACAAAGATAGTATGTATAAAAAAAATATTTTATGATGTGTCTGCGTATGTATGTATGTATGTGTGTGTGTATGTATATGGTTGTGTGTGTGTGTATGTATGTATGTATGTATGTATGTATGTGTCTATGTATGTATGTATGTGTGTGTATGTATGTGTGTGTATGTATGTGTGTGTATGTATGTATGTGTGTGTATGTATATGTGTGTGTATGTATGTATGTATGTGTCTATGTATGCATGTATGTGTGTGTATGTATATGTGTGTGTATATGTATATGTGTGTGTATGTATGTATGTATGTGTGTGTGTATGTATATGGTTGTGTGTGTGTGTATGTATGTATGTATGTATGTGTCTATGTATGTATGTATGTGTGTGTATGTATGTGTGTGTATGTATGTGTGTGTATGTATGTATGTGTGTGTATGTATATGTGTGTGTATGTATGTATGTATGTGTCTATGTATGCATGTATGTGTGTGTATGTATATGTGTGTGTATATGTATATGTGTGTGTATGTATGTATGTATGTGTCTATGTATGTATGTACGTATCTATATGGGTGAACGTGTATGTATGTATGTATGTATGTATGTGTGTCTATTTATGTATCTATATGGGTGAATGTTAACTTGTATCTGTGTGTGTGTGTGTGTGTGTGTCTGTATTGAATTTTATTATCAAAAGTTTGAATTTGATTTATATAACTATAGCTAACTAATAATTTTAACATCTATCCTAACCTAAACCCATCCTACCACCCACCCACCCACACTTAAACCCTAACAGTCCCATTAATTGTAATCAATGGTGATCGGGGCGACGATGCCACCCAGGAGTCACGTCGGGACAATCTGAGGACAGCCGTTTGCGATGCCTTCCCGGTAAGCATTGTTCACATATAAATTATTTATTATAGATACATGTGCTTAATATGATAATATTGTTGTTGTTGTTGTCGGGTGTGTCCATATATATATAGGGTAACAAACCTGATGGCTGTAAGCCTATAGATATAACTGGAGTTAAAGTTGAGATCTATTATTCGCCATACAATCCGGCAGCCATTGATCACATCAAACAACAGATTAAAGACAGTGAATACGGTATCTATGATCTGATGCATCCGGATCTCGGTTTGAATCTGGAAGTGGATTATATACCCTGGGGTTTGTCAACTGCTGAGACTACTGGCGATGGAGATAATAAAAAAGTTGTCTATAAATGTAATGGAGAAAAGGACTGTTTGGCCACCAGATTGCATGTAAGTTATGATATTATTTTTAAAATAAATTAAATTTATTTAAAATTAATTAAATTAATTATTTAAAATTTAAAATAATTTTATTTAAAAAAAATTACACAATTTTATTGTTTAAAAAATTATATAATTTTATTTTTAAAAAATATATAATTTTTATATATATATTTATTATTTAGAATAGAAATTTATTTTTTTTATTGATATTTAATTTAATTTGTTTTGACAATAATAAATTAATTAAGGTTAATAATAATAATAAAAATATATTAAAATATTAACTGTTAGTTAAGGAGGGAGGGGGGGGGTAATTCTAATATTTACAGGCACATTAATTTTTTAAATATTTTTTGAAACATCAAGTTAACAATGTTAAACATTACAAAGTTAAATTTAAACAATAGAAATAATTATTTTTAATTATATATATATATATACAATAAGTAATTAATATTAATATATTATTGATGCGGTTATTTTGCACATACCCCTCCTTCTCCTACACCAACCCCCCCCCCACCCACTAGGCATGTATACAACGTCATCACGAGGACAGTATTGAAAATCATCATGAATTCTATATGATTGTCTGTACGACTACCCATGAAAAATGGCGAACCGATCCCACTGTGGCAGCCGCACAGTGCGGTGAACGGGTTGATGATATACCCGAAGATGGCACACAAATTGTCAACTGTGCCACAACAACGACAATATCCGATCCGTTTTTGGATGAAATGAAAAACAAGACACAACTATGGCTACCAAATCTCCGGGAATCCGATAGTAAGTGATATTATTATTATTAATAATAATTTAAAATTTTTAATAACTAAAATATTTTTTTAGATTTAGAATTTTAATTACTGTAAATTAGATTTTTTTAATGTAATTTTTTAGTTATTTAAATTATATAATTAATAATATTTGAGGAAAAATGCAGTTGTTAAATTTGAAAAAATTAAAATATTAGATAATATAAAAATTTTAAATGTAATAATTATTTTAATTACCGGTATATTTAATTATAGTTTACTTAAATCATAAATAGTAAGCGACTAATAATTAAATACATTATTATTTTTTTGAAAAACATTTATTTTATTTATTTATTTTTGATACTAACTTATTGATTAAAATAATATTTTTGTTATTGTTTTAAACTTTTATTAAAATTAAAACAAAACTGTAAATTAGTTTTTATTCACATAAATAGTTTTTTATATAAAAAATTACTAATATTAATATTAGTGTTACCAATAGTGTTATTAATATCAGCAAACTTAGAAATATTTTATTTTTTTTTAAAATATATAAAATTATATATAATAATTTTATTTAAAAAATAAATAAATAAATAATTTACTTATATTAATATTAATTTATTTAAAAAAATTATCTCTACCCGCCCTTACAACAGTACCGGTAGTTAAAATCAATGGCAAAACTAATGGTCTGGCCGGTCAAAACTTGAGGACAGCCGTATGTCATGCCTATGGGGTATAGTATTTTATTTACTCTTTTTAATTAGGAGCACAGTTAGGTTGATTATCATTTTAAAAAAAATCAATACTAATATGTCTATCTATTTATTTTGTTTGTTTGTTGGGCACCTGTAGGACGATGCACCGGCAATTTGTACAAAATTACCGCCGGTCAGTGTCCGCGTAGAGGTCTACTATTCGCCGTACAACGGACGGGCCATCGAGTTTATCAATCGCCAGCGTTTGGACAGTTTGAAAGGTGTCTACGATATGATGATACCGCAGCCGGAAGGCGAACCCGAAATAGATTTGGAAATAGATTTTGTTCCGTGGGGTATATCTACCCGATTACCCGGTAATAAACCGCAGTATACCTGTGCCGATGATGACTTGGGTTGTATGGCTCATAGACTTCATGTAAGTTTTTATTAAATTTAATTTTGTGTATTTTTTTAAATATAGTATATATACTGTATATAAACTATATACTATTGTTAATATCATAAATATATATATATGGTTAATCTATTTTATTTGTTTTTAACTAGATATTATATTTTTTTTTAAAAATTTAATATTAAAAATTTCTATACTAGAAAAGATTTAATTTAATCAGATAATAATATTTACTTACATAATTTACATAATTATCAAATCTAGTTTTTTTAAAAAAAAAATATAAAACCAAATAAATTTATTTTAAAAATTATTTAAATAGTTTTTTTTAAACATTAAATTACTAATATTTAAGTATTTATAAAATAAGCAAGTATAGGATTCAATAACAAATAGGTATTTTTTATTCAAATATATATATATATATATTTATTTTGTAAATTTTTTATAACTTTTATCCACTAAATGAAAATACATCTGTTTATAGGCCTGTATTGAACGCCATCATTCAGCCGGTCTGGAAAATCATCACGAATTTCTGATGGTATTGTGTACCACAACACACCCGGACTGGAAGTCCAATCCTACCCACGCTGTCGAACAGTGTGCCCTCCAAGTGAACGACATACCAGAAGATGGTGTACTGTTGGTCGAGTGCGCCAAAGATATCCAACTAAGCAACCGATATCTGAACGATATGTTGGAAAAAACTGGTCATCTGAGTCCACCCATCAGTCAGGAGGACAGTATGTTTTGCTTTTTTTAAAAGACATTTATTTATAAGTGTTATAATATTCTAAATAATAATAATAATAATTATTATTATTATTATTATTATACATTTCCATTTATTATCTATATATCGCTTAAAATTCTTTAAAAAATTATTTTATTTTAATTAATTCTAATTTATTTTATTATTATTACTATATATTTAAAAACTATTTAATTATATAAAATATTTATGATGCTTAAAAATTTTAATTTATTTTTTATTTTATTTTTAAATAATAATTACACGCATATATATATATATATTACAATATTATTATTTTTTATTAAAATTGTGTCTTAAATTATTTATCTACCAGTCCCTGTCATACTGATCAACAATGAACGAAATACTGGCGCTTTCGATAACCTAAGGTCAGCCGTTTGTACGGCATTTGGTGTATGTATTATTTTTAAATAAACTATATATAAAAATTATTGTATAATTTTTTTTTTAAAAATTTTAGCTAAAAAAATTAATTAATTTTTCGTATATATATATAATTTAGACAAACGCACCGGCAGCCTGTAAAATAACATTGAATAATGTTAAGGTAGAAATACTATATTCACCGTATAATACCCGGGCATTGGATTTCCTGAAACAACAACAAAAATCAAGCTCAGTTAGCATATGGGACCTAATGGATCCTGATTTACTATTACCCATTGAAATCGATTATATACCGTGGGGTGTGTCCGTAAAAACTGGTTCAGATTACACGTGCAGTGATAACGATAAAGATTGTTTAGCTCATAGAATACATGTATGTACATGCTAGTATATATATATATATATTTAAAAACTGTAATTTAGTTTCAATTTTTACAAAAATAATTTCATAACTAATTTTTTTATTATTTATAAATAGTATTAATACTAATTATTATTATTAATTATTTCTTATTATTATTATTACTAATTATTACCAATAATTATTAATACCAATAATTATTAATACCAATAATTATTACCGATTATTTTTACTAATTATTATTGATACTAAATTAATATTATTAATTTATTACCTATTATAGGCCTGTATTGAACATCACCATGATAGTTCACTGGAAAACCATCAGGAGTTTCGTATGATTGTCTGTACGGCCAATCACGGGGAATGGCTGACCAATGCCACCCATACGGTCATGCAATGCGCCAATCAGGAATCAGATATACCCGACACTGGTGTGGCAATAGATATGTGTGTGAAAAACAGGGTAGAAAGTAATAAACATTTGGATGATATGAAAAATTTGACGGAAACATTGGCACCTAATCTGAAAGTTGAAGATAGTATGTATTGTTGTTGTTGTTATTATAACTATTTATTTAATTAACTAAATAATTATTTTATATTAAAGTACCGGTAATTAGGATTAACAATAGAGTCGAGGAAATGGCTGTCAGGGATCTAAAGGGTGCCGTTTGTGATGAGTTAGGCGTAAGTTATAATTTATTTTCAATTTAATTATAATTAATTCAATTTACATATAATTAATTAATTCAATTTACATATAATTAATTAATTCAATTTACATAATAATTAATTAATTCAATTTACATATAATTAATTAATTCAATTTACATAATAATTAATTAATTCAATTTACATATAATTAATTAATTCAATTTACTTATATATATATAATTAGCAAACTAAATGTTAGACTAAAAATTTAAAATTGATTACATTAATTAAAAAAAAATTATTTATCAAATATTTTATAATTCAAACAAAATAATTATTAAAAAATCTTATTTTTTTTAATGTACATAAAGTTAAGATTATAATTTCAATAACTCCAATTAATTAGAATTTAAAAAAAATATAAATTATTGAAAATAAAATTTAATTATTAATTTATAATTTAATTTATAAATTTTTCATATTATTTTTATTTTTATTATTTGATAACAATTAGGACAACGCACCGGACCCTTGCAAAAGGGCTGCAACCGTACGCCTGGAGGTCTACTATTCACCCTATAATCCAAAAGCCATTGAATTTATTAAAAAACAACAAAAAGGCAATAATGAGGGTATCTATGAACTAATTGATCCAAAACACAATCTACCCGTTGAAGTGGATTTTATACCGTGGGGTGTGTCCACCAAAACTACGGACAACAAATACGATTGTACCGATACTGATGAGGGATGTCTGGCCCATCGATTACATGTATGTATTTAATTGATTTTTAATAATTTAGGAATTTAATTTTTAATAATTTAGGAATTTAATTTTTAATAATTTAGGAATTTAATTTTTAATAATTTAGGAATTTAATTTTTAATAATTTAGGAATTTAATTTTTAATAATTTATATTATTTTAGAAAAATTTTATTATTTTTTTTAGAAATTTTAAATTCAATTATATATGTCTAATTTATTTTTTTTCGTTGATAAAAAATATAGTATTTGAATGTCAATCAAAAAAAAAAATTCATCTAAATTTAGTTATAGTATAATATTTATTTTATTTAAATAGTTATAAATTGATTAAAAAAAAGATTATTATTTTTTTTTTGGATTACATTTCAATCAATACAATTTTATTTTGTTTTAAAATTTAAAATAATAATCATAATTATATTACTATAATAATAATTATAATAATATTAGTATAATAATAATTATAATAATAATAATAATACTTATGAATATTATCTAACTGTCCTTAATTATATTAATAAATAGGCATGTATTGAACGACATCACGACGCGGGTCTACTTAATCATCAGGAGTTCAATATGATTGTCTGTACCACTAATCACGAAGATTGGACCACTAATGCAACCATATCGGTAATCCAGTGCGGAAACATTGATGGTTTACCGGTACCCGATACCGGGTCACGTATTGTCGAGTGTGCTACACATGAACCGGAAAGTGATCTCTATTTGGATGAAATGAGAATATTGACCGAAAACTTAGATCCCAGACTAACTGAAGGCGATAGTATGTATTTGTTTGTTTCAATAATAATAATAATAATAATTATTATTATTATTATTATTTATCTATAATTGTTATTAATTTATTAGATTAATTGTTAAAATTATTTTTTGTTTAGAAATCTGTACAAAAAAAAATTATTATTAATATTTATTTTCTATTATTATTATTATTTATTTTTTATTATTATTAATATATATTTTCTATTATTATTAATATTTATCTATAATTTTTATATATTTATTTTTTTTATTTAATTTATTTTTTGTTGAGAAATCTATTTAAAAAAAATCTTTATTAATATTTATTTTCTATTAATATTATTATTAATATATATTTTCTATTATTAATATTATTAATATATATTATCTATTATTATTATTATTATTAATATATAATTTCTATTATTATTATTATTATTAATATATATTTTCTAATATTATTATTATTATTAATATATCTATTATAACAACAACAACAACAATAGTACCGCTAATTAAAATCAATGGAAATACTGTTAACAATGAAAATAATTTACGAAAACTTGTTTGCGATGCACTGCCAGAGGTATGCAATTTATATAGAAAATAATTTTTTTTATTTAATTATAAATTTTCATAAATTTAATTTTAATTTTTTTAGGATCTAAGACCATCAGATCTATGTCCAAAACCGGTAATTACATCAACACCAACACCTGTCAAACCAACCACTGAGGGTGGCTCTAGTCTAATGTCCATTAGTATGGCGTCACTGGTTTTTGCAGCACTAGTATCGCTGGTTGTATTAAATTATGAATTTTTATAGAAACCATACCATAGATTAATATTATTTTTTAAAAATTAAAAAAAAAATAATAATTAAAATTATTAGTTTACTGTATATTTTTTTTAATATATATATAGTTTTTGATTTTTTTATTCTAAAAAATTATTTTTTACCCATTTTTAAGTATATTGTTTTTAAATTAATTTATTTATAGTATAATACACACAAATAAATATATTATATTTAATTAGTTTAACAAAAAAAAAACTTTATATTAAATATTTACTTAAGTACTATTAATTTATATTAGTATTATTATAATAAAATATTTTTAATTACATTTCATTATTAAATAATAATATCAAATTTATAAAACTTTTAAATAATAAAAATATTTATTTTACATTTTATATAATCATATAATAAGAATACAATATACATAATAATAAAAATTATATTTATATATAAAATCAAAATTAGTTTCTATAGCTTATAAAATATTATTGTAAATAAAATCAAATTATTAAATAAAAATAATTAAATATTATTTTTTCAAAAAAAAACTTTAACTAACTTTAAATAACAAATGTGTTACTAAAAAAATCATTAGAAATAATTTTAATTTGAATTACATTTTGTTAAGTTTTTCATTTTTCAAAAATATTTATAATTATATATTATTATACATATGAGTGAATTATTGCTAATTTGTTATTTATATATATTTTTAAAAGTCAAGTTTATAAAAATAATTAACTAAACACATAATAACAAACGATAGATTAATGGAAACTATTTTTTTAATAATAATTAAAACTAATAAATTAATAATTCTTAATATTTATATAAGGTTAGAGTTTTTTACAATAATCATAAAATATTAACCATAATTGGTCAGTAAACTATAATTAATATAATTAATTATATAAATAAAATTGAAAACTTATATATAATTTTTGTTACAGTTATTTATTATAGTTATGTACATATAATAATAAGTAATTTAATCACTTTTATTTTAAATATTAAATATTTTATTTATTGAATTAATTTTATAATTTAAAGTAAATAATTAACAAAAAATTCCAAAATTATTATTAATGATAACTTTTTTATCGAAAATAATACAATTTTTCAAATATAACATTAAATATATTATAATTAAATCAATTTTACAAATGTATTACAAAATTTTTAGCAATTGTTTCAATTGTTTGTCGCTTTTGATTTATAGCATTACATCTATCATCTGTTTTCAGCCAACATTTCCATAAAACTTGTCTGAATTGACGACAAAATTGTTGATTAAACCAGAAAAATATAACTGTAAACTATTATTAGTTTAATATTTTTACTAATATTTATTAATTAGTAATTAAAATAATAGTAATTTTTTAATTTAAAATTTATATTAATATTATATTAATATTATTATATTAATATTATATTATATTAATATATTATATATATATATAATTTATATATATAAACTGTAACTTATATTAATAAACTATATTTAATACTCGTAAATATTTAGTTTCCTATAAATTATATTTTGTTAATTTATGATTAATAGCAAACAATAACTAAATTATAGTATAAGAGACTGTATATTATAATATTTGTAATAATTTATAAAATTAATTTAACAATTGTTGAATTTTTACTAAATTCTAAAAGCTGTTTTTCTACATTTTTTTAAATATTAATATATTTATGTAAACAAAATTACTAGTAATAAAACGGAGAACAATTTTATTAAAATTTATAGAAAAAAATATACTTGAAGCTAAGTTTTAAAAATTTTTAATTTTATTATATTTTTCAATAATAACTAAATGATTCTGTCTGATAGGGAAACGGTAGGTATTGCTGGAGATTTGTTTCAATTATATATTTAGTCATCTTTTTTTATTGGTTAAACTATTCAGGTATTGAAAATGTGTGGGTGTATTACTTGTTGATAATGCTAGTTTTTATTTTTATCCAAAACATTATAAAAACCTATAAACAGATTAGTTAGTAATTTTGATTTGGATTTATTTGCATATTTGTAAAATTACCATGGTAAAATAATGTTAGACACTGTCTACCTGTATAGGTATAGCGTATTGGTAATTTGTATCATAAAAATTATAACATAATTCATCATTTATTTGACAAAAAAAAACACATTTATAAACGGATCGTTAATTATATTCATTAATAATATTAATCCACTATTATTATTATAATAGATTATTATAAGTATTATTAATCCACTGATGTTAGTTATTGAGTTATTTAATAATAATATAAAATATTATTATATTTTTAACTATTAACTATTATTTACTAAAACTATTACTATATTTATATTATTATTGGCTCGTAACCTATAATTAATATAATTAATTATATAAATAAAATTGAAAACTTATATATATAATTTTTGTTACAGTTATTTATTATAGTTATGTACATATAATAATAAGTAATTTAATCACTTTTATTTTAAATATTAAATATTTTATTTATTGAATTAATTTTATAATTTAAAGTAAATAATTAACAAAAAATTCCAAAATTATTATTAATGATAACTTTTTTATCGAAAATAATTACAATTTTTCTAATATAACATTAAATATATTATATTTAAATCAATTTTACAAATGTGTTACAAAATGTTTAGCAATTGTTTCAATTGTTTGTCGCCTTTGATTTATTGCATTACATCTATCATCTGTTTTCAGCAAACATTTCCATAAAACTTGTCTGAATTGACGACAAAATTGTTGATTAAACCAGAAAAATATCAAACTATTCAATGATGTCGTAAAACGATAAACAATCGAAAATATATAATACAAATCATGGGTTAATTTTGGACAAATATCCAGCGATTTGGTCGTAATATTAAATTGTTTGATAATAGCGTACATTGTGTTTGTCATAATAAATACAAACAAACACGTAATCAATCGTTTAGTTATATAACAACGTTTAGCACAAGTAATATGTGTTACACGTATTACTGATACACTTGTGGTAGTAGTTGATGGGCTGGTAGTACCGGTGCGATGATGATTAGGATGATGACGATCCTGTCTAAACTGTTTTAACATTTCAAATACTAACCGTCCTGAATACCAGGTAACCAATAGGGTTGGTATAATAAATTGGCATACCAGTGCTATCCAACTACGTATTTGTTTATACATATAGATAGTAGTGTCTGATAGTCCAAACCGATGATAATTGTCTACATGAGCGCACATAACCGTACGCTTGTGGTAATCATAGTAATCAACGTAACTGATGACCATAAATGGTAGGGCAAGTAGTCCAGCGATTAGCCAAACCGTGTAAACCAATAATCGGGTGTTTAGTTTGTCAAACGGGTTGTTAAATACACGGCTCAGGGAATAGTATCGGTCCCATGCTATCAGTGTAAACGTTAGTCCAGTTACGTATAGACTTAGGTTTTCCAGATATAGTTGACTGGATTGTAGTATATTGGCTGCCAATGGACATAATCGGATGGTTACCGATAGTAGACAATAGCGAAATAGCCAACTACTCATTGTTAGTATAGTATCCGATAGACATATGTTAGCCATCAGTAGTTTGGGTCTGTTTTTCGATATATACCGAAATTGTTTGGTCATTATTGACGATTTCCGTACCAAACAAATACATATTATATTAGATACGGAGCCAACTATTTGACATATTATGAATAGTATTGTAAATACTAGTTCAGTACCGCTAAGTGTTACACTATATTAACATAAAAAATAGATAAATAAATATATAATTATTTAGTAAATAATAAATTTTTAGAAAAATATTACTTACATGGCTTCCACTTTAATGTCATCAAACATTTTTATATTTATAATAATAATAATTATAATATACTATTGACAAAAAATATATATTTAAATTTAGTTATGAATAATTATTATAAATAAAAATATATTATTATTAATAATTTTTTAAAAATAAAAAATATTACTTACATAGATTCTACTATTATAGCATCAATCATTTTCATATAAATTATTATTATATATATATATATAATATATTGTAATTATATTATATTAATAATAATAATAATTATTTATTTTAACATTTTTATACATGTATTGTTTTAACCAAATTATACAAAACAATATATAAGTAATTTGGCGCTTAAAATTTATATTTATCTAGTATTTTATTGTAAATAATGGATAGACTTTTACAAGCAATATTATTTATTATTGTCTAGTATTATAAATTGTTATATAGATAATAATGTAAATGTATGATAATATAGTTTAAATAAATCTAAGTGTACTTCAAATACTTTAGTAATGATATATATATATATATACTGTATATTATATGCTATTATTATATTATATGTAATAATATTAATATTAAATTTTTATCTATAATATGAATAACAAATATAAATATTATAAATAGTGTTATAATTGTTTTATTTTTATATTTTTATAAAATCTAATAACTAGTATTATTTATAATATAATCATAAATAAACAATTTATATAGTAAACGACTTTTTTGTTTATTGTTTGAAATTATAGATATATTCAATTTAAAAAATATTTACTTTACTATTAACATTGTTATGATATTTTTATTTTTACTATTTTTTATATATATAGAGAGTATTTATTAGTATTCAATAATAATAATATATAACATATATATATATATATATAATTTTTTTTTATTTTTTAAAATAATTATTTAATTTGTAATAACATAAACAAAAAAAACTGTAAACATAGAAATTAATTAATTAATTGATTTATTGATTAGCTCTTAAAATTGTTTGATAGCATTATAATAGAAAATAATTTTTATATAATATTATTTGATTTAAAATAAAAAATTAAATTTTTACATAATATCTTAATAAAAAAATAAATAAATCTACTTTAATTTTAATTGACACATAAATATTTTTTTGTATTAATATTAAATCTGATAAATATCATAGCAATGTTAAAATAAAAGTAAATTTTTTGTAAATTAAATAAATATTATAATAATCTTTTATTTCAACAACAAAAACAAAATATACGTTTAATATATAGTTATATTTAATGTTTACATAAATTGTTTATTTATGGATATTATTATTATATAAATATTATAAATAATAATGATTATTACATTTTACAATATAAAAAATAGATTTTAATATATTCAATATATTATATTATTAAAACTTATTATTTCCTAATAAATTAATTTCTAAAGAAATTGAAAATAATAATAATTAAATAATGTATTTATTTTTTTAACATATTATGAATAAAGTTATTTTTACAAAATTAAATCAATTAAATAAATACTTTTTATATAAATTATATAATAAAATTGTAAAAGTAAATAATAATTAGGATTTTTTTTTAACTTGTATTGTACTTGAGATTTATTATAAATTATTATTAGATTACATTATTACATAAAAATCAATTATAAATCAATATATGGTATTTAAATTTATACATAATAATAAAATAAATACAGTATATTTGTAAACTAATTGCTAATATTAGGTAATTTAAAATTAAAAATTATAAATATGTACAATAATTATATAAATTTGTTAGAAATACATATAAATTATAAAACAATAAATTAATTAGTTGTATTTACTATAATTAAGCTTGTAGCAGCTATAGTTTGTTTAATGATATAAATAATTTTTTAATTTAATTTAATTGATTAGTATAATAAAAATTATTTTAATATTTGAATTTGATAAATTTAAAAAAAAAAGTTTATTTGATTTAATAAGTAAGAAAATTTTTTTAGTGCATTAAAACAAAATAATTAACGAATATTTTAAATAAAAAATTATTACATATTTTAAAATCTTAAAAACTAAAAATTACAAAACTTACATTGTCCAATCAAAATCAATTAGATGATCCATAGCTGAAACTATTGCAACATTTTTCATATCAATTTTTGATTTGATTTTATTAGAATTTATCCATATATTAGCATAAGTCAAACAATTTGAAACTATAAACATTAATATTATCGATAACCATATGGTTAGACTAAAATTGGCCAACAATTTAAAATGTTTGGTTAAACCAATTGAATCGCCCGATACTATAGATATAATGTTTTCAATACTGGTTGGATATAATGAATCGCATATAACTAGTCTCTGATCATCAAAAACCATTGTATTCATAATTATATGACTTTTCTATTTAAAAAAAATGTAATATAAATTATGTAAAAAATTATGTAAAAAATGTTTTTTATTTTCTAATTAAAAAAATAATATAAACAACAATTAATAATAAATCAATAAATAAAAAATATAAATAACATATTATATAATAATATGATTATGAGCTAAATCATAATCATATTTTTTTGAGCATTTAATAATTACAATAAACTATTATTAATTACTTAAATTAATAATAATGATAATTATCAAATAGATTTTTTTGGACAGATTTTTAAAAAAATAGCTAAAAACAATTTTAATATTTTTTTTAAAAGATAAATATATATATTTATATATATAATTAATAAATACATTATCCTAAATAAGTTTCATTGCTCCTGTCCATGAACCATTTAATAATAATTGGCCAGCATATTCATAGGATGATATAAAATTTAATCTATTTAAAAATTATTAAAAAAAAACAAAAAAAAAACAATAACACCAATTAATTAATTAAAATAAAATTTTCATCTAACCTGCAGTTTAACTGTTTATTAATTATATCAACAATCAATGGAAATATATTACGTAATATTATGTAATTTTTGGACACCGAGAAAACCTGTTTTTTTTGTAAAATAAAATTTATTAATTATTAAACTAAATTATTTTAGAGTAAATAATAATAATAATAAATAATATTACCATTACTATTGTTGCATTCAAGTTGCATGAAAAATTGCTTAAATTATTATTATTATAATGATAATCATTTTCAATAATCATTTCCATTGAATTATTATTTGCAACAATTAATTTCAAATCCGTATTAATCATTTTTGTTGTTTATAATAATTTATTAATTTTTATTAATAATTTTATATTAATTTTTTGATAATATTAATATTAATACTTATAGATATTTAGTATTAAGTATTTTTTTTTGAGTTAAAACTTACAAAAGTATATAATCTGAGAAATACACTATAAATAACTTTGAATATATCTATAAAATTGATGAAAAATTTTAATTATCGCAAATAATTTATATTTAACATACAATAGTTGTTTATTATTTAAAAAAAATATTTTTATTATAATAATATTAACAACAAAAATATTTCATTTTTAATTAAAATTGTGTTATATATATAAATAAATAAATAATTTGCTTTATTGTTGTATTTTTAATTTATTTTACAAATATTTATTTTTTTAAAAAAATAATAATCTTATTATTAAATTTAATATTGCATATACAAATAAAAAAATTTAATTAAACAATAAATAAATTTTATTTACATAAAAAGCAAAACAAAAAAAAATAAAATTAATTAACATTATTTATATATTTATTTTTTGTTAATATTTTTTTTTTAATTAAGTAACAAATTTTACTAAAAATTAAGCCAGTTATTATAATTTACATATTAAATTATATTTTTAAAAATTAGATAAGATAGTTAACTCTATCTATTTTAATTGCAATATAAATATTTATGAATTATAATTATAATCTGAAAAATATCATAGCAATGTTAATCAAAGTAAATATTTTACAAAATTAAATAAATATTGTAATAATCATTTGATTTCAACAACAAAAACAAAATTATATACATTTAATATATATATTTATATAATGTTTACATATATTGTTTATTTATGGATATTATTATATTATAAATAATAACGATTATTAGATTTTACAATAAAAAAACACTTATAACAGTTTAATACATATATATATATATATATAATATATTTGTATATAAATATTAATAATATTTTTAACTTCAAGTACATATTTAATCATTTACATGTAATATTACATTTAATAATAGGCATTGTATTATTGCATTTTATTACAAAAATATATCATTATTATAATAATAAGTTAAATTACACACATTTAAAGTAGACTTACCTGTATTTATGATATTATTATTGTATATATATATATATAGTATTAATACATTATATTATCTGTAGCAATTTATTATAATACACAATAATAAATAATAATAAATAATAATATTACATTAAACTGTTGTATTGTATTTTATTTATTACATTATTTACAATTAAAAAAAATATTTGATAAATATATAAATTTTAAGCGCCAACTTACTATTTTATTTTGTATATAATTTTTTTTATTAAACAATACATTTATAAAAACTTAGCCAACAAAAATTTTAATTTATATATTGTGTTATTGTTAAAAATAATAGTTAGTATTTTTTTTAGATGATACTAATATAAAAAGTATATTATTATAAAAATGTTTGATGACATTAAACTGGAACCTATGTAAGTAATAGTTATAAAAAAATATTATTATTTAATAAATAATTATATATTTATTAATATATTTTTTTTTTGGTTAATAGTGTAACACTTAGCGGCACTGAACTAGTATTTACAATACTATTCATAATATGTCAAATAGTTGGCTCCGTATCTAATATAACATGTATTTGTTTGGTACGGAAATCGTCAATAATGACCAAACAATTTCGGTATATATCGAAAAACAGACCCAAACTACTGATGGCTAACATTTGTCTATCGGATATTATACTAACAATGAGTAGTTGGCTATTTCGCTATTGTCTACTATCGGTAACCATCCGATTATGTCCATTGGCAGCCAATATACTACAA